TTTTAAGGTTTTCTTGTAAAATTTAACCAACAGTTCAAAAATTAAAAAAAAAAGTATTTGTGCTAATCATGTGCGGGCCTTCACATCTTTTTCACGATATGAACTCTTCAGAGAATATTTGAATATCTAAGATGTGACTCGGATCCTAATTTGAGATTGTGTAAATTTTGTAATTAGTGGCGGAGCCATAATATTTTATTTTAATATGCTAAAAGTATATAATAAAAATAATTATAAATAATATAAAATAGTAACACTAAATTACTATAATTCTTCTCGACGCATTTTTATACTTTAAAAACGCTGTATAGCTACGTCATTATCAATTGCGTTAAATACATATAAAAGTGTCGGTCCTGTGATTTTCTGGGCATGGTACGAACTTCATAAATTAAGCCATCAATGCAATCATATAAACGTTAAAGATCTCTTTGGCTATATTTTCTCGAATTTATTTTCAATTATACATTTTTTTATAATTCATAATTTTTACTAATTATTCTTCAACCACGGGACGGAAGACTTTTTTAAAATCAATTTGTCCCATTCAATTTAGAGCGGGCCAGGTGGGGCCCAGTTAACATATCTTCCAGACCAATTAGGGTAGGATAGGGTAGGGTAGGGTAGGGGTAGGGGTAGGGGTAGCACCTTTCAACTGATGACTAGTATGACTTTAAGACTGTGAGCCTCATGGCTTGATTATGGGCCCATTAAATCTTTGCAGAGATTTCTTATAATGATTTTGTAAACTTCATCTTTCGGCTTTATTGTCTACTTAACTTAATGACAGCAACATTTTTATTTTTCAAATCAAAATTAATCAACATGCTTATTTCATAATCACCTTTTAAGCTTAGCCAAACGCGGTCGAGTAGTAAATAATAATTTCCTTTATTTTTTTTTTGTTTCTTTGGGAAAGTACTGTAAAAAGGAGTCAAATCCATTTGGGCCCTACAACACACACAATACATGATTAGGGCATGTTTGAGCCCCATTTTTGTGAAAAAAATGATGTATTGATGTATTTTTGTAAAATAATGTATTGATGTAAAATGTGTGGTTAAAAAAAAATAAGAAAAAAATTTAGATTTACGCGTGATATTATTTTATTGAAAAACGTGTGGTTATAATGTGTTCAAAACACTGTTCGAGAATGCATTTTTTAAGGGCTCGCTTGGCAGATTTTTGCTTTTGCTTTTGTTTCCGCTTCGTGTAGAAGAACATCCTGAACTAAAATCTCTTCTAATCAGACAAAAAACTTTTGAAAGTTATATAAACATGTCGAAAAACAATTTTGACTCTACAAAAGTCATGTCAAACAGACCCCAAAGTAAGTTGTATAGTATACATGTGTGTTGGGTGCGCCCATGCATTGTAAAATTAGCATTGCTTAAATTCTTACCTCACATAAATATAAGAACGACTCATAAGAACTTGAACAATTCTTTTAACAATTAACGAGCTCTATCTTTACAAAACTCCGTAACTCGATAATCTAAATGCACACAAACATACTCATGTAAATGATTTATTTAATTAATGCAATGAAATAATAATTATTGTTGAATATAATTAAAATATTAATTATAACCTAATTAAAAATTTGCAACTAGCTAGCATAGGCCTACCTTTATGATTTAATAGCCTTAAATTCGTAGACGAGAAAAAAATATTGATGAGAGGAGGATCCCTTTCCACGTATAGATATTGTTGTATAGTCCCTTTCAAGAATTGATACAAAAATTTCTATTTTAAAGAATTATGTGAACCCTATAAATTATAATTAACATTTTTGTTCTACACACAGACACACATGTTGGTGTGTGTGTGTGGTGATATCAAACCACAAACCGACCAAAAGTGCAAATGCCAAATATGTTGGGGTCTAAAAACTCAAAAAGATTTTTGAATCCTAAAATTTCTACAATGTTTTTCGATATTACAATTGTTTTGGAATGAGTGTAGGTCACTTTCTTGTATTATATCTATGTGCGGGTCAAAACCTCACAAAGTCTTGTTTGGTGTAGTTTAAATAATTGATTAAAATTTAAGATTTTAATCAAATATTTCATAGGATTCTCAATTTTTATTAAATACGTGATTTTTAGCTACACTAAACGGGGGCATAATTTCACCAAAAATCTTTATTTAGGAATAATCCGATGTGTTCAACAAAATAGTAAAATGCTAGAGAAAAAAGTTTGAATTGAACAAAAGAGTTTCTACTCCTCACCTATATGGAATTTCTATTTGTTTCTTTTATATCATGCAACCCAAAGATAGGATTCACGAGATAATAAGAAGATCCATCTTGATATTGTTGGGGTTCTTTTTGTTGTCAAACAAACTTTTGGGGCAATGATACAAAATAGTGACCCGTTTAGCTTCATAGGCCTGGACTCGCAATTGAAGAAATAGATGTAACCCAATTCACCAACTCGGCCAAAGTGGTACTGGACGCATTCAACGAATGGAGGCAAGCGGTTTATAACTTGTTATTCAGCAGTTCAATCAAGTACGTGTGTTGATTAAAGCCTTATCTTTGTGATTCATTCATATCTTTGTCTCTAGATTTCGACATATATCTTCCCTCTCTATTTCACACGGTAACATCTTCTTCTCTCTTGGTATGACCTTTCATTCTCGCTTATCACCAAACTTTAAATATAAAATTAAATTTTAAAACATAAAATAACATGAATAAAATAAAAATAAGAATAAGCGTGGGTTGAGGAAGTCACCCGTTCTCTCCTCTCTGCCACCGAATACTAAACGGGGTGGGGATCCCCTGCCTCATTTAGGTGGGACAATGCAGGGTGAGAAAGAGTTGGATAATACTTTGTATAAAATTAATTTTTTTTTTTAAATTTAGTCAAAATCAAGTAGGGGCTCAACCCTGTCTGACTCGCTTTAAATTAAAATTCTTTATTTTTTATATCAATTTCAATCATACTTTCGCACAATAAAATATTTTGCACGTAAACTTAAATTTTTTTTCTGCTTTTTAATTACACGTTCTTCAAAAAACTATTATTCAAAACAATAATTTTTCCAATTTATTTTATAATGACCATCAAACGGAGGCTAAATCAATAATACATTCACAACCACTCTCCATTTATTACCACAAAATCAAGAAATTCAATATTATTCCTACTAAAAAAATTACTAACACTTTTATCTGAATACAACCCTCGTTCGATTTCGTTTTTCGAGAATCACTTTTCTCCAGTGCTCATTTTTAATCATACGTTCTCTAAAAAAAAAAATTATTTTTCACGATTTTTAAATTTCTTTTTGTAAATTCAAAGAAATAGTTAAAAATTATCGGAGCAATCACTAGATTTTGTCAACTACTTTAATTTTGGTACCCAGTTGGCCTAAATTAAAAGTTAAAGAAAGCATTGGGCGTAGAGTGGGGTGTGTGGGTGTCGGCATGAGATGGGACCACACCTCTCTAAACGTGTCCACTTCCTCATTTTGACAGCTCATTGCCACTTCATTTAGTTTCTCTTTCCAATCTTACCCTTTCGCCACCTCGATTCTCGTGTCACGACTCGCCGCGTCACCCCCACCGGGTCAGTCAATCAGCGTACACGTCATCAGTCACGTGAGATTACACGTCATTACCTGCGTCACTTTTACATAAACAAAATAAAATGTGCGCCACTCTCTTTTCATCCATTAGAATCTCTTTCAAGCAAAAATAAAAAATAAAAAAATAAGGATTTCGCTATATGTACATCAATGATTACATCGAGGGTTGTACAACGCATAAATGATATTATGTAATTGGTTGCTGAAAATTGTTTAATTTTCACCAATTAATTGCATAATATCACTTGTACTTTATGTAAACCAGAATGTGACATTTGATGTACAAACAGAATAATCCAAAAAATAATCACTTTTTTTACAGGAATCAGCTTCTGGGCTGGCTGGCTTTTTTTGAAATCTGAATGAAAGCAAACGTTGGAAAACTTATGTAAGCTATAACAGTAAAAGTGAGATACAAAAATAAGTAGGACCCATTAATATTTGGACGGCTAATCCATTATCTTGCCACCGTATCATGCCAACTTGAATTTGATAAAAGTTATGTTTTGTTTAAAGGGATTAATCTGGTGCAACAGGCTCAAGGACTGGGCCATTTTTCTTGTGCTGTAATGACAGATTTTGATTGCCAGGCTTTTCTATTTTTTTCTTAATTGCCAATAAATTTTTGTCAAGTGTTTATCTGTAAATAATTCTGTCATTTACCCCGTTTCTGTAGTAGGGTCGTGTTTAAAGATACCCAAGTGGCCATTCTTTTTAGAATTAAGTTAGAGGTGATGCTGCACATACATAATGTGGTGTTCACTTCTCACAGGAAGGGGGACCCACTTCAAATATATATTCGAAGTAGGTACCCCTTCATGTGAGGGGGTGGACACCATTATGAACACCGCATCATGTATAAGTAGCATATTCTTTAAACTAGTTGTACAATGAATTTTTACAACTAATTTGACGATGTGTGAAATGTAAAGATCTTGACGGTTGAATTGAAAATTAATTTTCTCTTTTTGATTTTATTTTTGTTGATATATTAGAGTATTCAGAAATATTTAGTATACTAAATTGGATACATAAAATTGTCATTACTTGGAAATATTCTAACTTGTTATGTATACTATTTACAACACTTGAACCGAGCCTCAGTTTAATTTTTATAAAAATCAGTAGATTCCGATAAAAGTTATTATTAAAAAGTTGTAGATCTCATAAAACGTGTGAATAAAACAAATTGTTAATTTAAATTTAAACTTTTATTAATTTTTTTAACTAAACCAAACGGGGCAGAATGTAATTGAATAAAAGGTCGTCTATTATATTGTCTAATAATATAGAGTTCATAATTATAATTAAGGGGCTTCAATTTCTTGCATAGTTCTTACTAGCAAGGTTATAGTTGTCCAAATAGGAAATGGGCCAGTCCAAACAAACATAGACTAGTTTTTTCAATCCATAGACAGATCCAATGGGCTTTTAAATCGTCCGTACGCACCAATCTTCAATAATTCCATTGCTGCAGCTGTTCCTACTCCCTACTAATATCAAATATTTATAAAGCAGTTTCCCAGAACTGGTCTATTAAGTTAACACTCTACAGGTTCCTACCAGTTCAATACAATTCCTTGCTCGACCTCGTGATGTTGGGGGCACGAATGATTGGACAGAACTAAACAACACAGCTTACCGAACACGACATTTACATTAAGTAAAACTAAATCAATGACATTCACCAACACCGAATTCCAACTATAAAGTTCCGATAAAAAGATATTTCTCTGACAGGTAAGAAAATCTCAAGTGACTAGTTTCAAGAAAATGGTGGAAACACTATTTGTGGACTAGCTATTGCCATTACTATATCGCATTGGTATCGCTTATGAATCTAATGAAATGCATGTACCATAATACCTACAATTGTTTGTAGAAGAGAATGTAAGCCTGGTTGTGCAGCACCTTACTCTCACGAATAGGTGAAACAGAGGAATCGTCATAATGCAGCCACTTGCCACTTGGATGGCGTGCATCCGCAGTGTAGTGTCCCTTCGAAGGGTCCTGTCCATGATGAGTGATCGTTGCAACAAGTTCATATCTTCTACCCTGTATCAGTCAATTACACAAGAAAAATTATTAGGAGGAACATTTATGGCTTGTTCATACTTTCTACCCACACATAAATAATAAATTAAGATCATTGGGCCTCGATTATTTAGTAATTGTTAGAAATTAATCATACACAACTTTGGTAATTGAAAATCAGTACTTCAGTAAATAATCTTTCATACTACTTTGATGGAGAATTATGAGATCTCTATTTGATCATACACGAATTATTTCTTGATCTTTCACAGGGTGAAACACAACTGAAATGTGATAAACTTCTATTTATAACAGCATCATTCAAAGTATAACAACGATTGCCTTCAGAGTAGCCAATACGGATATGAGACTTTCTGAATCTGTCAGTGGTTTTAACTCTATATGCTGACAGTAACTTGAAAAAAGAATACAAGTTTTCTTTTTTCCCAAAAAGTGGGGGAACACCCCATCGAATTAATGAGTAGCAAATTAGGTAACAAGATAAAAAAGCTATTCTGAAAAATAGTTGTAGAATTATAAATCACCTCAGAGGACGGAGAGACAAGCAATTCACGACCAAGAACAAGCTCCAACGGGAAATGCACAGGTACATTTTCATTGTATAATTGTTTCTTCTCGTCAAAAAGAAAATAAATAAGATTTCCCTTTGAATCATAAGCATTATCACTGCAACTATGAAGGTCCATATACTGATTAATAACCAATGTGACTGATCCACCAATAATGACGTCACATTTTGAAAACATCCTGACTAAAATAAGATTTGATCTAAAACAACTAATAAGGTTTGAAACACACGATTGCACAAATAAATCAAAAGAAAACCCTGTCTTAAACTTATCTAAGCAAACATAAATGAATATGAACAGAAAAACCAAAAAAAAAAAAAAAAAAAAAAGAGAAAAAAAAAAAAAGAGAAAAAAAAANATGAACAGAAAAACCAAAAAAAAAAAAAAAAATGAAGAGGAAGAAGAAGAAGGGGGTAAATAGAAAACAAAATGCACCTTCCCAGCTGCTGATGCTCGGTACCCTTCCAGTGTTTCTGGTGCAGAAAACAATTGAAGTGCATCTTCTATTGTACGCACAGGCTCGGGAAAAATATTAAGGTGGAGCAAAAGAAATGGCTGTATAGTAGCTGATGCTTTGCTACCTGCTTAAATACAATAAGGGAAATCATGATATGGTATATGCACGCTGACACACTACATCCAGCAAGAGTATCATGAGTGAAGGAGAAGAGAGGGGTAGTCAAGAGCCTTACCTGCCCTTCATATTATTTTTAATAATTTAAAAGCAGGGAGGGCATCCAAGATGACTCTACTGAGTATACATGGTTCCCCTAAAATATAGCATATCTGACTATATTACCCCAAATTGAATTTGCTAACAAGACATAATTTCAGACATTGCACTACCCTAAAGTAATCTTTTTCCTTTTCACTTTCCCTTCAAGGAAGCCACCAAATTGATATAGCTTAAGCCTGTTGAAAGAATTATCAAAAAACAAAGAAATTGAGAATGATTAATTCTCAGGGCAGTTCTTTACTAGATAATTCAGAAGGATGTAAGATTGGAATTTCCTAGAAGACGGTTCCAGCTAGATGGTTAAAATAGTAAACCAACTACAAAGAATAAAGTCTACGAGAATGCATTAAGATCAATAACAGGAGGATTGTGGGGAGACGATTATTAAGAGGATGCATGTATTAAAATTAAAAAATCGCTTGCTGATAAGTGGAATTAGATGCTCCAAACCTCGACTAACCTCTTGCCTTCACGACACTTCTCAATTGACCCCCAAAAATTTCACTTAATTTTGAAGGGATGAAAGTCTGTCTTCTTGTGATTGCAGTTTTGTTCCTCGGGCCAACCATCTCCCAATCATCATTTCCACCCTCATCAGTAGAAGAAACCAAGGAGGTTGCTTTTCCTTTTCCTTCTGGAACTTGACCATCAAGTTTTAGCAATTCATCATGCATTTGATGCATTACAAAACTTAGGAACTCCTGAGCATCTTCTTGCCTGAAGGGCGTGCAAAGTCCCGGGAATTTAAAAAACAGTGAAGGTACACAATCATATACTAACTACAATTGCACACTTGATGCATTTATATAAAATATACTTCCATTAAGTGGCAACTAAGTTGGAGAAAAGATAATGACTTAAATGCACAATAAAGATTAGCCATTAATTGAGGAATTAGAAACATTGTTTTAATTTCAATTGAAGAGATATTTAACAGAATGAGCAAAAAACATAAAATGAGCTATTTCACTTGATTTTGTGTTAGTTGCACATATGCACACATGTGCATTTCTTTTTCATTTTGTCATTCTTGCCAAACACTAATTTAGGATTCACAGGATTATCACCAACATCCTGCCAGCCTTCTCTATACTTACAAGATTTGCCCCTAAGTTCCAAGATAAGAAAGAGAAAAATGGAAGGCTAAAATTTCTTAAAAAATAAACTACAGACTAACTTTTGCTGGCTAAAATGTCATCATGTTCTATAAATTTCGGATCAGTCAGCTGATCCTACTTTATCCCATCATTCTCCACCTTTAATTATTCTTCGACTTTTCTTATTAAATATACTTTTAGGTTCTTCATGTGACAAATACAAATAAGCCTCTTAATTGCCAAAAGAAAAAAAGTAGTTTTATGGGTTCTTTTGAAAGTTGGTACGACAGGATGGCTCTTTACCAAAATTAGGAAAAGGGTAGTCTTTTCCTTTCTCAAATAAGTTTACTGCCAATCTAGGCCAGGGAGAAAAAGGTCAAACTTTGCAACTGTGAATAATAACAACAAAGAACAGGCCAAAAAGAAATAGAGGCCGTGTGCTTGACCTTGGCCTGCCAGACAGGATATCTGGAACATCTGGAGTGAAACTTTTCAGAATGGATTCAAACATGACAGGACGAAATGGCTGTCCAGTCTCCAGGATAGTTTTCTCATTCCTCTTGGAGCTTGAATCATTGTGCACGTCGAAGTGAGAGATAAATTCAACAAATGCACATAATGTTGGATATCCAATCTGAAAGGGGGAAACACAACATTCATGAGTAGACCTCCACAGTACTTAATTTTTGCAGTATGTAAATTAGATGTTGAAACTGTAGATCATTGGAAAGTAATCCACTACCTTTGGTATATTATGATTTCTTATATCATGCAAAAGTTCAAAGAACGGAGAACAAGAGAGAAGGGCCTGGACAGTTGCATTGAGAAAGCATAGATTCCCCAGGTTGACTAAACCTCGAGGTAGAAAACTTTTAGCAATTGAATTTGGCCCATTTGATGCCTGGGTAATACTTTTGTTCGAATCCACTATGTCAAAACCTTCTGTTGAATCATCCAAAACTACATCATCCAAGGAGGATGACAATTTAGTAGCTCTCTCACAACTGAGCTGCTGTATACTTTTCTGTTGGTTTGAGTCGTTTGACAAGTCACAAGAATTATTCGAATTTAAACACGCAGGTTTTAGTTCTTTTGTCATATAACCCTCAATTGGACTTCTATCATTGGCGCACCCATTTTTCTGCACAAAAGGAACTTCCAAGTGTGATGATTTTTCAGCATTTCTAGGGATCCTAAAAGTATTTTCTATTCGAGCTGGCCTTAACAGCTCATACCCTTTAGGGGAATAAATCTCAGTCAAACTAGTATTTGAAATGCCCACGGATCGTAAAGTTGCTGGATCCAAAGAGCCAAATAAGATTTCTGTATTATTCTGTGATGGCTCGCATTGCAAGGATCTTAACTCGTCTTCTGTAAATGATCCAAAAATCAACACCTGATGATAAAGACAAGAAATCGAAATTAAAAAAAAAAAAACAGAAATGATTAAAAAAGCCAAGCATAAAAGTCATGCTCTCTTACGACTATTACAATTAGTAACTGAAAAAAGATTCATGTGCAGAATACTGTGTCTGCTCATAGCAGCATTCCATTTTTAACAAATGAAAGAAGCAGTATGGCTAACTGAATAAGAACCCAAAATATATGCCTCTTAATGTAAAATGCAATTCACTGCCAAGTTCTTGAACCCATCCGTAGGGCAATTTGAACGAGCTTTGTGTAATTAAACATCAGGTCTTAGTGAATGAAAGAATAAAATATGATATTGTAAGTTAATAAATTCTGAAACAGATGAAAATACATATATTTGACGGATTATAACTTTTATTTTCAAAGAATAAGACCTCAATAATAAAGCACCTAAAGAGATACAAGCATTTAACATACCGTGCAAAACCATTATCATTCTTAAAAGAAGCCCTATTAAACAAACATAAACGTCAAACTTGTAAGATGTTCATGGTCAATGCAGTATGGGAACTACACTGCATACTAGCATTCCCTCTGGTGCAACCTACCTATTGAACGATATACGGTGAATGCATTGTAGCAGATCTGATGCCATGTTGCACTTGCCTTTTTCTTTCCCTTGAATTTATTCATTATTTGCTCTTTTTCTTAAAGTTTGTAACGAGGAGCTTTCTGCTTCCCCCACTTTCATCAAGGTTCTCTTCCTATGCCAAGTTACTTCCACTAACTTAAATTATGATGAAACCAATTAAGTTATCCAGTTCTCAACATGGAGACACAATTTATACAACCACTATACAGGCTTTTGACACTCTTACAATCAGCTTTACTCTAATTTCAGGAACTACCAAGCTCAGAACTCCTGAAATATCTTACCAGTTTCTTACACTATTCAGGCTTTCTTAACTTGTTCAGTAAACCAGTTACCACAGTCTTGCCTGAATTGCAACTCACACAAACTCGAGATCAACAAATCAAAAATTTGTTATACCCATCTCAATTTTAGTTTTACAGGCATATGTTTAAGATTATCTGAGCCTTCAACCAACCAACCATAATAGATCCCTTCTGGAGATCCAATTTTTTTTTTACTTTTATCTCTTTGCTCTGTTCATTCTCATCAAATGACAACCCGGAAACCCATAAATGTACAAACAAAGCAGAAAATTTTAGCACAAAACCCTGGCAGTCTTTAGTTTCAATCAAAGTGAACAAAATTTATGGGGATGAAATCCCAACATTTTTCTGATATTCAGAATTTATATTTGGCTACATTGAACGCAAAATCATCTTTTCCATTACTTTGAATATCTTTTCCATCTTTTCATTCTCTGAATAAGTGAAAATAAACTTAATTTACTACCGAAACCCTAGAAACAAATGATTTCAATAGCAACTCAAAATTCCACAAAAATGGACCCTAAAACCTTCTACATTGCAATCGAAGTCTCAACTCACAAACACCAAATTTCCCTAAAATTTTAATTTCAAAATTATTTCCCCATACCCCGAAAGCAGACAAATACAACAAAAAACAAAAAAATTCAAAAAAAAAAATATATATAAACAAAATACGGACCCTATGATCAGTCATTTTGAAAATGGGAACAGCCAGGGCATCAGGAATGAGCTGGAGAATGAGCCATTGGGTACAAAAAAATGCCGTCTGCAGGAAACGATGTCGTACAAGCAGAACGGAACGACATCGAAAGACATGAAAATTAGAAACTGGGGAGAGAGAGAACGGGAAAAAGGCAAATGTGAGAAAGAGATGGGGCAGAAGAAACAGAAAATAAATTATTGGACTGAAAATACTATTTAAGGAAATTGGGGACCAAAATGTTCTTTTTATCTCACAATAATATAAGAGCCCATTAATGCATAATTTCGTGGTATAATCCTACTACAAGGTTTTGTTTGGCCCTCATTTTTCAAAAAATATATTTTCTTAAAAAAATTATTTTTAATTATATATTTCATGAGATCCTAATTTTATCAATTTTTCAACAATATATTTCATTAACTTTTATCAAAATATACTAAAAATCTGATTTTTATTTTGTCTTAGATTTTTTTGAAAGGATGGTCGATCGATTTCATTGTCTTCTTTCCTTTAACCTTTCTAAATTTTTATTGTGACGTCTCTCATCACTAGAGTCGTTTATCTATTACTCGATATGACATTTAGCCCTCGTTTGACTCTAATTAAAACAAAACTCTTTATTTCCCATACTCATTTTTAATTACACATTCACATAATAAAATATTCGATACGTAAATTTAAAATTTTTCTTACTTTTTAACTACACATTCTTCAAAAATCACTATTCAAAAGTGTTACTCTTTTGTTGGATACTAGTGAAGAGAACGTGCGTCGAACGTTAGTTGATTATTGTTGACAAGATAGAAATAATTTTATTTTGGAATTGATGTTGGTTGATGGTTTCCTTTATCTGATGAAGCATGAAAGAGTTATTTTTTCCAGAAGTATCCAACAACAATCAACTTCTCATTTGTTACAACCTAGCAATCATCCAACAACAATTAATAGGCAAATGGCACTGCGCAATGAACAAAGATTTTAGTTATTTGACTGACTATAAACTTGAAATAGATTATTAGCGCACATTCCAATATTTCAAAGGATAAATTACATGCCTGCAGGGGCTAATGTAGTATATCACGGATATGAGATTTAGTTTGAGACCCTTCATTTTCACCAAAATCTCCAAAAATATTAGCTTCGAAGCTTCTCCAACAACACCTCTCATTTGGTAAAAAACACCGACCCGGATAATATTTACTTCCCCGTATGAAGCTACCAGTACACCAAAACTAATCACTGACATTATCAGAAGCATCCCGCAGCTCATCATTTCAAGTCCAGCTATTACACCAAGAATGAAAACAACAACTGGCACTGATGTCATCAAGAATGAGATCAGTAAAACAAGTAATATGTAGGAAAACTGCTACAAAAATTAGGTATAGACAAGCCAAATCAATTTCAACCTATAAAACAACGAGTAGTACTTACTGATTGCTTTCAACATTTGAGCAAATGCAACAAATATATAGAGAGGTAAGCAGTGTTTCCAAGCCAAAAAGTCATAGCAAACATGACACCAATTGGGATGACAGAAGATATATATCTGTATATTTAAAAGTCAACTTGGTAAAATAATTCTTGCAACCATNTAAAATTATTCTTACTTTTTAACTACACATTCATCAAAAATCACTATTCAAAAGCGTTACTCTTTTGTTGGTTACTCTTTATCTTTGCCTCCCTTAACTGACCAGGAGGGAGGTTGAGGAAGGATGGGCAAAATGAGTCTTGTTGGTAAGGGAGAAGGGAGAAAGGCTGAAAAAAATTCCCCATGGCAATCTAAACATAGACATGGATTTGTACTATAACAACTTTTATATATGTCTATCTAATGCACAAAGAAAACGGATAGCTCTAGAAAGTAGAAGTCCAGGAAAGAGAAAAACAAGAAAAAGTAATCAATGTGATGCATATAATGTCAGCATACTCCTTACTTGTTGCAAAGCTGAAAGTTTTTGCACTGTTTGCAAGCCCAACTATTTCCAGATACCATTAGAGTGCAGCAGTGCGAGCATGCATGTTGCAAGTGAACCATGATAAAGTCCTCCTTCATTGGAGATATCGTCTCACCAAGCTAAAAAAAACAAACATTTTTTATGAGAACCAATAATAAGACGTGCATCAATGTTTTTAAATTTAACAATGAATGCTGGGGGAAGGAACAACATAGAGAAAATAAGAGGTCGAGGGAGATGATTAAAAAAGCATCAAAGCATAAATCATCAGTCAAAATGAGAGAAAAAATCACAAAAACAATTAAAAGGAAAAAGTAAATAAATAACTAAAGTAAATATCCACGACTATTTATAAGTGCCTGTAATGTTTTGTTTCAGAAATACTAATAATCAAAAAAATATCATTATTGGTAGGTCTTCAAAATAAAAAACCTCTAGAGAAATTTAAACATGTAAAAGAATAGTGTAGGGCATTAAAATTACTTTGTGCATTAACAGGATGTCCCTCGATGCATTGCCAGAAAGATCAGTTTGACCAGATGCTTTTAAAGCTCTTTTCATGATGGTTATTTTCATAGCTCCCTTGTGCTGTTTCCTCCCATCCTCTTCTTGTTGTAGTTGATAGATCATGTACTTTGCAGCACCAGGCCAGTAATCTGATTATCTCTCCGTGCGCGGTGTGCGCATGAAGACGTGGTGTCTCCGTGACACGGAGACACAGCGCTTCCGTGATATGGAGAACACGGAGACACCGTCCGTGTCTCCGTTGCGCACGGAGACGCGGACGGTTAAAGTTTGAGTGATGACTGGTATTTGTAATGAAATTTTTGTGATTATAGCAAATAGATGGAATTAGGCCATTTACAATGCATCTGATATGTATGATATAAAAAAAAAAGGTCCGTGTCTCCGTTAAGCACGAAGACACGGACGGTGTCTCCATGCGAGATGGAGACATGGGCATGGAGGCTCCGTTGCACGGAGACACTGACCATTTTTTTTTTTATATCATACACACAGATGCATTGTAAATGGCCTGATTCCATCTATTTGCTATAATCACAAAAATCTCATTACAAATTCCAGTCATCACTCCTGAAAATTCTTGGGAAATATCAATGTCCCATCCAGTAGGCTTGATATCTTCAATACGTATGTGATACCAATCTGGTATCTTTGCTTTTCCATCGTCTTCATCTTCATCTTCATCCGTGTTTGAAACCGACCTCGAGTACTGGAGCTCGGGATCTACTTTTGCATCCCAATCTATCTCAACTATGTACATATCAGGATTTGGCACAGGATTGGGATAGGAAAGGCCATTCTTTTGAGCATAAAACCGGTTTTTCGCGTTGTGGAATGCCTCTTTACCCGCTGAATTGTCCCAGTCGAAGATTTTATCATGTATAGATTGACTCGATTCCGCACATTCCTTGGCTTCCAAAAACTTTGTCCATGCAAATAAGCCACCCTTTAAGCCGATTTTCTTCTCACACGATGGCACCACTGGCCTTCAAACACATAACGACAATTAGAAAATTTGCATTTATTTTAATAAAACCTTAATTATTATTCAAGATGATAATTGATCATACAGTGAGGATTTCTTCTGGTATAGTGAATGTATGGCTGCCGTATCCTCCTCTGGTTTTTTTGCACTGTGGCGATTATATAGTTCATTCATCAGCCTTACTAGGGGCGGATCCAAGAAGTTGAGCGTGCTAGAGCGGTCGTTGACTGTTAACGATCGCAATAACGAGATTATTTATTAATATTTAATTAAATAATATTAAAAAATTCTTCAATATAAACTAAAAGTCATATACAATAAAAATATAATCCAAAATAATAAGAAAAAAATACATTTTTTGAATCATATATATATGATCAAGTCTCAAGTTATGAGAGGTTTAAGCGAGACAAGATGAAACTTATGATAAAGCATAATTAAACGATAAATACTAATTCCAAACTTGGGCAAAGCTTATGCAATTTTTTTAAAACTATTATTTTTAGAACTATTTTTTACCCAAAAAAGTGTGATTCGAAATCTTAAAAATATAAAGAATAGTAGTTAAATTGTCTACATTTAAATTTTACAAAATAAATTAACAAATTCTAGCAATAAAAATATTTATTATGCAGTTAGATTGTCTACATTTAAATTTTACAAAATAAATTAACAAATTCTAGCAATAAAAATATATATTATGCATTGTTATTACAACCAACCCGATCTTTGAGTGTACAAATCGTTGGTTCGGCAGTTCAACTATTAAGTCATTGTAATATTGAATTTTATTTAAAAATAATAATAATTTTTAAAACGAGTAGTGGTCAAGCAGTCAATTACCACATGTATAGTAATAGTTCAAATCTTACCTGAGCAATTTGGGAAGTTAAAAAATTAAAAGAAAGAAGGGAAGTCCTTGGAATCGAACATTGCACATTTTGCATGTAAAACTACCACCATACCATATAAGCTACATGGCCTATTGTTGAAGATTATTACATTTACAAATATTTAATGTGATTCATCAAAGCTTTATAAGCCATTTTTTCTGATGGACTCTGCACGGGCGGCCGCCTCGACTCGTCAGGTGCTGAGTCCGCCCTTGATTGTACGTATTCGCGGTCAGTGATGCCACTTACTTTGCCACACTGGTAGCAGCGGTGCTGCAAGCAGCTTCGTCGCGATGTTGCAATTTCAATGCTAATCACTCATCTCACAGTACCTCCGACGGTTGTGCGTTGTAAATAAAAAGTGAGGAGAGAGCTAGAGAGAGGGAGAGAGAGATGGATTTGGGGGGTTTTCGAGGGTAGTGGATGGTTTGTTATAATAAATCTGTATTAATTATATTAATAATTCTTAATTAGCACTTGATTTATGAATTTAAAACTAATCCACCTTGTTTATGAGAATCAGTCTTTAAGGGTGTGTTTGATTGAGGGTATCAAATTTGCGTGGAAAGAAAATAAATTTTAAACAATTTAATTATCTTGAACTTATTTAGCGGAAATGAATTTAGGGGTTGGGGATAAAAGAGAGAGATGAATTTGAGAAGTTGTCAAGGGTAGTGGATGGTTTGTCATAATAAATATGTATTAATTATATTAATAATTCTTAATTAGTACTTGATTTATGGATTTAAAACCAATCTCCCTTGTTTATGAAAATCAGTCTTTAAAAGTGTGTTTGATCGCTAGTATGAAATTTGTATTGAAAGAAAATAAATTATAGGCAATTCAATTACCTAAAACTTATTTGTACGTATGTTTGTCCATTTTTTATTGGTGGATAAATAAGAGATATATGAGAGATGAGAGAGAGATAGCGAATTATCTGAGAAATAAAATCATCATTCCCTAAATTAAATATGGTTACATGACAAAAAGTTGAAAAATACTTTTTATGGAAAAAATTGTCAATCAAACATTCAAAAATAGGAATTTGGATGAAAAATGACATTTTCTAAAAAAATAAAGGAAAATTTCATTTCTAAGATGT